TCCTTTGATACTCCTCCTTTTAGTAGGTGTGGTCTAATTTCCCTTCCCTTGGACCTGAACTGGCCCTAGTGACCTGCCTGACCAAGAAAATGCAGCAGCAAGAATGTTCTGGGACCTCTGAGGCTAGATCACTGCAGCTTCTGTCAGTCTCTTGGGACACATTCTTGGAACCTAGCCCCTCTTCTGTAAGGAAGACCACGCAGCCACGTGGAACTCCAGCTGAGCCCCAGCGGTGTGAGCGAGCCATCCTGGAAGTGGATCTGCCGGCCCCAATCATGCCATCTCAGCCATGGACTAGCCGACGCCACCCAGCCAAGTCCTTCCCAAATAACCTGACGCTCCATGCACGGAATATATGGTAAGATGGTTGTTTTAAGCCACTAAATTTGAGGTCATTTGTTAAAAAGCAATAGATAACTGGAACACAATTTTATTGAGCTACTACTATATGACAGGTGCCAAAGTAGGTGCTTTGTATGTTATCTCCTGTCATTTTCACTAGAGCCTCCATGAGGTAGATATTTAATGATAAATATGTGACAATAAGTTTTGTCCTTGGGTGAATTAAAAAATTCACCCAAAGTCACATAGGAACACTGTGTTGTCTGTCTCCAAAATCTTTAATGATTAGAAAACTCTTTAGGGGAAGAATCCACGAAATATGCTAGGGATAAAATAGGTGGGAGAAAAGCAGAATGAATGGTGAGTTTGTGTGGGTGCAAGGGAATACACCTCAGATTCTGGCCTAAAATAAAAATAAAAGTTGTAGGCAATTGGAGAATCTTCGTGAAAACACGCACTCCCTCTGCCTTCAGCTTTATCACTGCTATGCAATGAAATAGGAAAATGGAGGGAGGGAATATTTTCACAATGTTAAAGATTTTTTTTCTTTTAAATTACCAAAGCTAGCACACCGACTGTGCCCTGACGTTTGTCTTTAATAACAGCACCCATGGACGTAGCATCTACTACAGGTAGGCATTGCTTCAGGTGTGTCACCTGTCAGGTAACCTCAGGCACATTTCCTTACATTTTTGTAAGTGCTTTGGAGTTTATAAACCACGTTTACCCACATGCTTATTTCATCATGAGAGCAGATGCTTTTCCTGGGGAGCAAACAGAGCAAAATGAATCAACAATTAATATTTATCAGGTACCACCTATGTGATTGAGAAATATGATCTTCCTTGATTCTCCCTCCCCACTAGCTTATTTCCTTTGCTTTCTTACTTAACAGTTTGCATTGTAATGGCTTGTACCTGTTTCCATCATGAGTCTGTAAGCTTCTCTTGCATATACCAAGAGCCTAAGTGCTATGGTTGGGCAGGACAGACAAGCACCACTGCTGGGAAGGATGGATGGATGGATGGATGGATGGAAGGAAAGATGGATGGAAGAACTGTATGCATAATTAAGCGGTTAAGAGTGGTTAAGACCTGTGGAATCACCCAGTCCTTACTACATTATTGACCATGTGATTGTGGGCTAGGGACTTAACCTTTCCGAATGGAAATACTATTACTTACTTCCATAGAGTTACTGGGGATTAAATGAAATAATAGATATCTCTCATAGTGGCTGATACACTATTAACCCTCAAAAGCAGAAGCTGTGAAAGGAGGAGGGGATGCTGCAGAGGGGGAAGAGCTGGAAGGACAGGAGGAAAAAGAAGTCAGCACAGGGAAATACCTGCCTACTATAAGAAACAAGCAGATGTTTCTGGCCCCTTCCCCTATGTATTTACATATAATGTGGTATCTGCTTTCTTGTTTGACCATTTCTTTACTAACTTGCTGGATTGACCGAGGCCGCCCAGTCCCTCTGTAAAGCGCGCTGATGACGCCCACAGCCCATGAAATGCTCAGAGCTGGTTTGCTCCACTTGAGTTCGCCCACATATTCCCACAAACTGAATCAATCTTTTGTTCCCCAAACCTGTGGCTGCCAGTTTAATTCATTCGTACCACAGACATTTGAGCACCTGTGATGTGTGGGCACTGTTCTAAGCTCTGGTGAATAAGACAGAGAAGGCCTGCTCTCAGGGACCTTCTATTCCAGTTATACGTCTTTGATTTCATAGTTTAATCACGTATTAGGAAACCTGTGGGAAAAAGAAGTCCTTGTTCCTATGAAAACCAAGTGAAATGTTTTGCCATGACTGAGTGGATGCAAGTTGCTAAAAGAAAATTGCTGTTGAATCTGGTGTGGGCCAGATGACCAGACAGTGTTGGGAGCATTGGTAAGAATCCAGGATTCTGCTTTGCAGGTGTATTAAAGTTCTTCCCAGCCTTTAAAGAAGCCGAAAGCAGAGGTTAGAGATGACATATTACTTCAGCGTATGGCTTGTGCAGACAACAAACAAGAAACTCTAATCAGACCTAGATAGCAAAGTAGGAAGCTGCTGAGGCAAGAGAGGAACCCAGGGTGCAGAATTTCGGGAGGACTTGCCCCCAGCACCATGCGCATACAGGGTCGGCACCCCACAGTGAGTGCCTCCTTTTATTTTGTGCCCGAAGTGCCTCATTTGCCTTCCCCCTGGGGTCAGCCCGGCCAGGTGGTCTCAGATCTACGTATGTTTTAAGGTAAAACATTGAAGGGGTATAACGTTTTTAAATATCCATCATGTTATCAACCAACCAACTGGTTCCAAGCTTATTGGAAAGGAGAGCTTCTGCGGTATCAAAAATATGCATTCAGCTGTGCAATAATGGCAAACATTTATCGAGTGCTTTCCACGGATCAAGCAATGTTCTAAGTACACTGTGTGTTAACTCTGTTAATCCTCTGCTTTGTTCTAGATACTACTGTTATCATTCCCATTTTGCAGACAAGGAAACAGGCACTGCGAGCTCAGTTGCCTAGTCGCAGTGTCTGGCTGCAGGGTCTGAGACAGCAGTACTTACTCTCAGAGGCCACATGAGTCATGTAGGGCACGACTACCCCCGCCCCATGCTCTACTACCAGCCCTGTCCAGACAGTCGGCAGGGTTCCATCTCCCTGGCCAGAGTGATTGGCTCAGGAGTGGGCATGGATCCCAGCTGATGCATCCTGAGACCGGGGCTCCCAAGAAGAGCCACTGTCTTTTCAGTTGAGAGAGCTGCTAATGAAGTGGATGAGTTAGCTGGTGGTGTCCCCAAGAGGAGCCTGAAAAAGCCAGCACAGAGAGGAAAGCAGAGGCAAAAGGAGGGGAGAGACTGAGTCCCACAGCCATTGTCTGAGCTTTGGATCGAGCGCTGCCTAAAGCCAATGTACCCCTCGACTCTTCCACTGTACAAACCAATACGGTCCCAGTTTTACTTAACCCTATTTGAGTTGGGTGTTCTGTCGTCTACAACCAAATTTTTTCTAATTGAAAATTTTCTAATCGCAATCCTCTTTTCTGGATACTTTGATCATTGAATGAGTATTTGTTGAGAAATTATTAGGTATCTGGTCCAAAACTATATGCTCAAAGGGCGATTATCCAGTTTAAGACAGTGTCCCCGCCTACCAGGAACTTACAGTCTCACTGGGAGAGATATGCCCACCCTACCCACCCCAACTCCATCAAAAGTTGGATAATATTAGAACTGCCTCAAGGCAGTATGTGCCAAATGCAAGGAGGGATACTCACTGCTGAGGAAGGAGTGCACTGGAGTGGCCTGAGAAGGTAAGGATGGGTCTTGGAGGACAGGGAAGATGCAGCTAAAAGATGAGTAGCACTTAGGCAGAAAGGAACAGAAGTGGTAGACCCCAGAAGCAGACGCTGAGACGACAATGCAGTGTGTGTATTTTATTTGGGAGATGAGCTCTGGAAATACGGGTAGGAAAGCGGGGTCAGGGAAGAGAAGGAAGCCAGTAAAAAGGGCACCATCAAGCTCATTACTGCAAGGGCACGGAGCTCTATCCAGTGTGCAACATGCTCGAGAATCATCCCAGCTGAGGAGAGAAGAAGGTATTCATCCGCAAACTTTCTGCCCGATACTGGCTCCAGGCTGCTCTTGGGGCCATTACCTCACTGCTGGAAAATCAGGAAAAGCCTGGGCAACCAGGCACAAGTGCTAGTCCCACAGGTCTGCGACAGTCACCATTCTGCCTGACTGCCTCTGCACTAAGCCAGGACAACCAGGATTCTTGTCCCCAACTGTATCATAAAACCTGTCAAGTGTCTTACTGAAGCCTGGGCAGTTTGGGGCCAGCGGGGAGTGGGTGAAGGGATGTTGGGGAATGGGGTACTATTTTTGTAATGTTAGCGCCCAGGGAACGTTTCAGGAGTCAACATGGCAAAGGCAGGGAGTGAATCCAGACCGTCTCCCCAGTTCCCTCCCAACTCTGCTGATCTCTGATGCTGAATTAGGATGAAACAAATCTGCTCCTCCAGAGAAGCCCAGGTGAGCCATTTGATCAGAGACATTGGATTCACCTTTGTCCTCTGCCCAGCACAGTGGCCCAAATCCCCACAGTTATGGTTTTAAAAAGCTGCTGGCCTTGGACAGGTACTTCTTTCTCATTTGCAAAGTAGAATTAATGCCTATTTCTTGTTGGCAACCCACAGTGTGTTTGAAGCATTCCTTGATTTAAGCAGAGCGCCTGCATTTTAATGAAAGATTCAAGGAAGAAATCCACAAACTACACTAAGAATACAGGTGAGGGGGGAATGTCATTTAGGAAGCCCTCGAGCGAGAGGATTCATATCACAAGGAAGATCTTTCCTTCTTTCTTTCATTCAACAAATATTTATGGAATCCCTACTTTGTGCCAGGTAAAGTGAACGAAACAAGCTTCTGCTTTCACATATAAATAAAAATATATACGTACATGTATATACTGTCAGGTAATTTGATGCTATGAAGAAAAAGAAAGCAAGGTAAGGGGAGATACAGGGATAGGAGTGTGTTACTTGAAAAAGGCCTCTCTGAGCAGGTGGCATATGAATAGAGAGAGACCAAGGAAGGTGATGAAGGTGGAGGAACCCAGGCAGGTAACTGGGGGGAAGGGCATTTTAGAAAGAACGAACAAGAAGACATTACCATACTGGTTTATAGCTTTTACATAAAGCATGTGATGCAGGTTGCATTAGCTTCCTATTGCTGCTGTAACAAATTACTACAAAATTAGTAAAATAAAACACATTTATTAGTTTACAATTCTAGAAGTCAGAAGTCCAAAATGGGTCTTGCAGGCTAACATCAAGGTGTCAACAGATCTGTATTCCTTCTGTAGGCTCTAAGGGAGAACCTGTTTCTCTGACTCCTCTAGCTTCCAGAAGCCACCTGCATTCTTTGGCTCTTTCCTCAAATCAGTCCAAACTCTCTCTGCCTCAGTCATCAAATCTCCTACTCTGTGAGCGTCCTGCCTCCTTCTTATAAGGACCCTTATGATTATAGTGGACCCACCAAATAATCCAGGATAACGTGCTCTTCTCAAAATCCTTAAATTAATCACATCTGCCAAGTCCCTATTGGAACGTAAGGTAATCTATTCACAGGTTCCAGGGATTAGGACATGAATGACTTGTGGGGGTGGGTCATTATTCAGCCTACTGGTGTACAGCCAACGGTCATAATGCTGGGACCCCTGAAAAGGATGGCAAAATGTTAACTGTTGATGCAGGGAAATGTATACATGGGAGTTCATTACAAAACATCTATACTTTTGTACAAGTTTGAAAAATCCCATTAAAAAGTCTGAATGGGATTTTAGAGAAGGACCAGCTGAGGTTTAAGGGAAAACCTGGCTTTTGAATTAGAAAATTTAAGATCTATTTGCACATGAAGACATGTTCTAACTCATGAGTAATCAGAGAAACGCAACTTGAAATAATGAGATATGAAGATGGCGAAGATGAGAAAGTGGAATGCCACCAGCTGGCAGAGGCGTGGGGGGAGCGGAGCCTGTGCGGCCATGCTGAGAGCAGCACGGCCCTGCTCTGACCTGGTGCCCAGCACAGAGGTCCGCACACAGGTGCACAGGGCGAGTACAAGGAAGTGTTCCACGCAGCTTCGTTTACGGCAGTGCAGAGCTGGGGGCAACTTGTGTGTCTGTCACTGGGAGCGTGGGTGGGTAAACCGTGGGGCTTGCAACCCACGGAGCACTATGGCGTAGTCAGAAGCAACAGGTTTGATGTACCCACGGCAATAATGGACCTTAAAGGCATCAAGTCGAAGGAGGAACAAAGTAAGAAACAAATTCTCTGTGAAAAGTCAATTCAAAATACTGTCCCACAAGACAAAAGTCCTCATTTGGAAAGACACATATAAACTAGGAAATGGGACTTCCCTGGTGGTGCAGTGGTTAAGAATCCGCCTACCAATGCAGGGGACACGGGTTCGAGCCCTGGTCCGGGAAGATCCCACTTGCCGCGGAGCAACTAAGCCCTTGCGCCACAACTGCTGAGCCCGCGCTCTAGAGCCGGTGACCCACAACTACTGAGCCCGCGTGCCACAACTACTGAAGCCCGTGCGCCTAGAGCCTGTGCTCCGCCAACAAAAGAAGCCACCACGATGAGAAGCCCGTGCACCGCAACGAAGAGTAGTCCCTGCTCTCCACAACTAGAGAAAGCCCGCGCTCAGCAACGAAGACCCAACACAGACATAAATAAATCAGCAAACTATGGCTCTCAGGTCAAATCTGCCCTTTGTTTTTGTAAATAACGTTTTATTGGAACACAGTAACCCATTCGTTTAAGCATTGTCAGGGGAAGCTTATCTGTACAAATGACGGTAACATGCCATACACTAAGGGCCTGATTAACTTAACCCTCTGTGCCAGAGGTTAAAAAAACAAAGAAGGTGGTAAGAAGATCTAGGCTTGAGTCCTCACTAGCTAAGAGAGCCCTGGGAAGTCACTTTTCCTGTTTGCTCCTCAGTTTTGACTGTAAAAATGGGGCAATATTCATCTTAGAGACAATATACCTGCAAGTGCCTTGTGAATTATAAATGGCTCTTCAAATGTGAAGGCTTCTTAGTATCAGGGGTGGGAATGGTATCGCAAACATGTGTCCTCCTATAATCCAATGTTGCCTTCTTCCCAGACTTCCTACTAACAGTGTCTTATCCTTTCTCTTCCTTGCCCACTCTATGGAGACACTAACGATAAGGAAGTAGCCAGAAGGGAAGGCAAAGAGAAGGGAAACTGCAGACCAACAGGATCCACAAATGGGAAGCAAGCTGGGAAAAAAGTTAGAAAAGCTTATCAAGGGGAGATGGGTTGGACGTGACTGTGGCCACTGTCCAACAGGCCTCAGAAGAGAGCCGACTTAGGACGTAATATCGCCTCATGACATCCGACGTAGAGGGATGAGGGAAATTGGCAATTTCTGGTAACAAGGTCCAACAGCTACCATTGCTTAGATGCTGAGCACAGAGCAGGCGTATGCTGAACACCTCACGTACATAACCTTATTTATCCCAAGTACCTCGTACCATGATCCCATATGACAGATGAGAATATTGAGGGTATCAAAGGTTCAGTAATTATTGCAAGGCCACAGAACTAGGAAGTGGCAGAAGCAGTTCATTCAGCCCTCCCCACAACCCTACGAGGAATCATCACCACCGCATAGATGTGAAGTAACACAGCTCAAAGTGTTTGTGGCAGGGCCTCAGAAGAGTGACGCCAAACGTCCCAACTTTCACCACCACTTCAAAACGTCTCCCTGAGACCCAGGGCCCAGACGACCATTTATTAGAAAAGCCCGTTCGCTTTCTCATGCCCTGAGCCATGCCATCCAAGAGAACATTCTAAGAAGTAAAAGCAGACTTGAGCGCTGCTGGAGACCTACCTGCGAGGGGCTGAGCAGCCTGCTGTGCACATTCCCTTCCTAAAGGCGTCCAGCTCCTTGCTGTCGGTAATTGAAGGGAAGGCTACCTGGTGTAACTAAGAAGCTGAAATTTAAAGGGGAGATGGCATAAAGATAAGAAAATCAGCTTTGGAGGAGGGAACAGGACCCTAGGCCTAGTCGTGAGAACTTGGGCAAGTCGCTTCTCAAACTGTCAAGTTGGGTTTGCTTCTTTGCAAATGGAGACCTTCTTTCCTGCTTCAACCTGACCCAAAGTTCCCAGTCATTTAAAAATTAATCACAGTAATAATCTACTGGGTACTTGATCCTGGGAAGGGACTATGCCCTTTTACATATACTATATAATTTTATACTTAATACAAACGTGTGAAGTAAATACTAAACTATCCTCATTTTATAGATGGCAAAGCTTAAAGTAACGTCCTCTGTCAACTCAGGATTTGAATCCAAGACTGCCTGACCAAGAAGAGCCCATGATTTTAACCCAAGGTATCTAAACCCTGAATTCACATTAGAACCAAATGGGGAGTTTTGGGGGGAAAAAAAAAAACAAACCTGATGTGTGGGCCCAATCTTAGAGATTTTGATTTCATTGGTCTAAGGTGGGGCTGGGTTGAGAACCACTGGCTTAACCGTATTACAAGGCAGCCCCCTATTAAAAACTGACCAGCTGCTCATGGTGCCCATTCCACGTCCATGCACAGAAATGCACCAAGGTGCCTTAATACAGCTATATAACAAACTAACATAAAAAAGCTTCATAATGTGTGGTACGTGGCAATATTCTCAAGCAATTAAACCTGGCTCTTAGTTATTCACACTACTTTATATAAATACAAATGAATATATTTGGCTTTGCAATTTTTTAAAAATCTGAATTTGAAAGGTATAGCATTCTGATAGCATCATTTTAGGTTGCTGGGTTTTGTTGTTGTTTTTCTTTTTTAAGGAAAGATACAGTAATATAAATGAGGAAAATGAATCAAGCAATAAGAGAGAGCTCTGGTAAAGAGAGTCCAGCCAACATTCCCACCCATACAGGAGTCCCAAATTGCAAGGGTGACCCTTAGGGTTTTGTTATGTAGAAGTTTACATCAGGGTGACTTTTTGCAAGGTCAGTCAGTGAGGAAGGTCAAAGTGCAGTGGAGAGACTTACATTTTCCCTTTTAAATCCAGAATAAGAGTAATTAATCCTTAAGCTGTGCAACTAGACTTCAGCAAGTAGGTACTCCTCGCCAATTTCTAGGTTTAAGCTGAGATTGTCACTGTATATTAAAGTTGCATTCTGCGCTCTCAAAAACAATTTTCTCACCTGCTTATTAGCTAGCTGTGTGACCTGGGCCATTTAGTATCTCTCAGCCTTACTTTCTATATTGAGCAGTAGGAATAATACCCAGGGTTCTTCCCGGTGTTGCTGTTAGGACAGAATGTGTTCATCTGCGCAAATCAGTCTAGCACAGCGGCAGGAAGAGAGAGGGGCCTCACCAAATATCAGTTCTCCACCTTTCCCATGAATGCTCATGCTTGGTTATTGGACATAAGGCATGACTCAAACATATCCTTGGAGGATCCTGGAGCTAGCTTTTTCTGTTAAGAGTTCCGAAGTTTGTTTTAAATACAATCACAACTGTACCTTCACCATAAGCCTTGTTGATTGGATTAGGCTTGTGCATCAAATAGCACAATCTCACATAAGACCTGTAAGTGTTGTATGTTACCTGAGTCAGGATGAGCTAAATATATTGTAGCAACAAAGAGTCCCCATACCCCAGTGGCTTCTACAAACGTGGGTTTATTTCTTGCTCATTTCCATCTGGGGTCAGCTGGGAACTTTGCTTTGTGTGGCCTCACTCTGGGACAGGGCCATGGCAGAGGGAGATCGGTCAATGGGAATCACACACTGACTATGCTCTTAAAGCTTACAGTCTCACTTCTACACTGGCCTAAAGTGAGCGAGTCACGTGGCCATACCTAACTTCAAGGGAGATGAAAAAAACTACCACCTGCCTGGAACCAGAAATATTTGGAGAATCACACTGATGACCACCACAGGGATCTTACAGTTTACAAAGCATTTGTCACAATGATTGCCCAATTCTCAAAATATCCAAAGTAGCAATTAATTAATTATATGTGATAATTCAATTATGAGGAGTCAGCAAACACGAACAAAAACAGAGAAAACCCAATGTAAACAGTTTGGGCAACTCTGCCCACTATTCTGAGTGAAAGTGCCTCCGGCTTACGAAGCGTTGAACTTGCTCTTTCCTCAAGACATGTCTGCCTCTTGAAGTACGTCTTCGGTAATGAGTGGGATTCTCATTTTCATTGATATTCTCTAGTAAATGGCCTCTGAATGAAGGCCAACTATATCAATTCTCAGCTTAAAAACTGTGATCTTTCAATACTGAAGGAAAAACTGGCCATTTTTTTTTTTCTTGAAATAGCTCAGCATGCATCTGTAATACAGCACCTTCTTGGGGAGATTTAATTTGGACTATATAATGATTTTTGCCTTAAGGTCTGACTTCAGTGTCTGACCCCTGGGTGAAAGATGAGACTTCACTTTATCCCTCTCCAAAAGAGGAGGGAATGAACAAAGGCTCAGCAGTCAAATAACAAGGACACTGAGGAAGGAAGCGGCTTAAATCCCCATCTCCTCAAGGCAAGTCCCCTGTGAAGGGATAGCTTAAATGCATCTCAAGCATTGTGTGGCCCTCTGGGTCTGGCCCCTGGCTCAGTATTTCACCCACCTCTTGCACCCTCAAGATCAAAGTGTGAGGCAGGAGGCTAAGAATAGCCTCCTCTTTTCTTAGTTAATCCTGGCAAGGAAGTGTTCTGGTTTCAAAGCCTGACCACTGGGTGTCAGGCTTCAGGGGGAAAGAAAATAGAGATGGTTTATCAACACCACTTAATTACGCCAATAGAACCCAAGTGAGATTTGCTAAAGGATAGAAAATCAGCTGGCCCAAGTATGTCAATATGTCAGGGAATGCTCACTAAACTTTCACTCATCTGATTAAATCAATAAATATTTATCTTTTCTACATCTGTAGGAATAATTCATTAGATAGCACAGTGCTGTGCCCCTAATCCTCTCTTGATTTAAAGATTAAAGGGGGGTATTTCCCTGGTGGTCCAGTGGTAAAGAATCTGCCTTACCATGCAGGCGACGCAGGTTCAACCCCTGGTCAGGGAAGTAAAGTCCCACATGCCACAGGGCAACTAAGCCCGCCCACCACAACTAAGAGAGAGAAAATCTGCACGCCACAACTAGAGAGAAGCCAGTGCGCCGCAAAGAAAGATCCCACATGCCGCAACTAAGACCTGACACAGCCAGAAAGAAATTAAATAAATAATAAATCTTTAAAAAAAGATTAAAAGGGAGTGGCCAATTTCTATATCAAGCAATTCTAGAGACAGATCACCTGAAATCTTCCTGCAACAAAACACCTGAGAATGCAGAAGAAATATAACAAGATCTTTTAAAATGCGTAACTGAGCACAGCAGGAAATAGGGGAAATCCCCAAGATGGGGATGGAGGAAGCAACCGACAATTCAAGGAAGGATTAGGTGAGTGGGTACGCTTTGACATTTGCCAAACTTGGCAAGACAAGGACGGGAGGAATGGGACTAAGGGGTGGAGCACAACTGTGATTTCTTCATAAAGCCTTGGCCTTCAAAAAAGCAAGTCTCTAGTGGCACAGATATGACAAGGAAGTTCAGTTTTGCACTGGCTGGGGGTAGGGTAAGGTGTTAAGGGAAATAACAATGCTGTGGAGATAACTGAGCTCTCCCTGCTCAGTTATCTGCTCTCCCCACCCTTTACCTCCACCTTCAAGGTTTGAAACCCATCTCTCACTTAGGCTTGAAATCTTGGGCAGGTTACATAACCTCACAGCACCTCATAAACTTAGTTTATGTTAAGTGCTTAACACAGTACTTGGTACATAAAAGTACTGTTCAAAAATCATAGGGCAAATCAAAATGTGTTTGATATGTGTTTTTCTTCCAGAGTTCAAAATTTTTCCTTAAGAAAAAGTCCAAAAATGATTTATTTCCTTAAGTTAAAAAATAAAGAAGTCAAAATTTTCATTATTTGAAAACTGAATGAAAAAGAAGTACACTCCATCTTTAGTTGTAAAGGACCAAGATTTCACATGCTTATATGATGCTAATCAAATGATTAGAAAAAAACAGCCTGACATCAGCAAAGGTTCGAAACTCCCTCCACAATGAAATTACTAAAATAACACATACACAAAATGTTTTAGTAACTATTATCCAAGTTCCCTTAATGCCACTGGCATAGTTTAACAACAGTTTTTATTTGGGAAAAGAAAGAAATCAAAAGGGATTATAGGGCTTCCCTGGTGGCGCAGTGGTTGAGAGTCCGCCTGCCGATGCAGGGGACACAGGTTCATGCCCCGGTCTGGGAAGATCCCACATGCCGCGGAGCGGCTGGGCCCGTGAGCCATGGCCGCTGAGCCTGCGCTCCACAACGGGAGAGGCCACAGCAGTGAGAGGCCCACATACCGCAAAAAAAAAAAAAAAAGGGGGATTATAAATATAAAAGCCACCATGTATGTAATTGCACAGGAGGGAAAGCCCTCACTTGGAATGAGGAAACAAAGTAACAAAATGAATGACCTTGAAGCAAACTTGGTTATTTCAGGGCTTTGATTTTCTTTGAAAATGAGAATTTGAAATCAATGGCTTGAGGTCCCTTCCAGCATTTCCTTTGATTTTGACGGCTGCTGCAATGGCACAGAAGTTATCCATTTGGCCCTCCCATTCCACAAAAACAAAACACATTATCATTTTAAGAGTCAAAGAGTCAAACTGTTGTTCTGAATTTTAAAGCACTACATAACTGCTAAGGTTAAAACTCCCCTCTTTCAAAAATCCGAAAAGGTTGAATCATCAGAGGATAGAACCCATCACCACTGAAAACCAAAGTGGATTTTCAACCTAGTAGAAAATCTGAATTGACAAAGCATGCAAAAATTAGCTCAAATAGCTGCAGCCTTCCTCCATGAGTATCCTGGTAAATGCTTAGTGGTTTAAGTGTTTATTGTTTATGCTGCAGAAAGCAAAGAGGCTGGAAGCATGAATGTAATATGCCCAGAAACTAGAATCTTCATTCAACAGGGAAAGAGTTTTCTTCAAATAAAAATAACACAACTAAAAAATTCCAAATTCTTAAAAGGTTTAATTTTTTTCACAGGATTCTTTTTTGGGGGGGGAGGGGTAACACATGGGAGCAAACCACCAACTGTCAATCATGTATTTGCAAAATTCCTGATATTTTACAGTCACTGGATTTACATACATTTGTAAGTGATGTTTCTCCACATACACATACAGTGAAAGACACTGTCCAAATAACTTCTGATGTAAAGTAGAACTTCGAAAGAGAAATCACTTAAAAAATCAAATCTTATATAATAAAAATACTTTAAGCACAGCATTCACACATTTGACGGTAGATCCCAAATGCTTATCTAAACGGAGGGAATGCAATTAAGCTGCCTTCACTCAAAATGGTGCCAGAGGGCAACTACCCCATTTACTAGCCACTGATAAGTCATGACAACACTATTTCACAGCCCATCACCATACTTCTGAAGCCCCCCACCCCACCCCAGGATTCAGGATTTCCTCAACACTAGGGACTTATCTCAAAAGCCTTAGTTCAGAACAGTAAAATAAATAAAGATCGCAATGCCACATTCAGAAACTAGGTAATGGCTTGGAAGTAAAAAGGGGGCGGGGGAGAAATGAACTGTCACTTATCTGTTTTTCTAAGTTTTCTATTTTTTAATAAATAGCAAAACTAAACTTAAAACACTAACTTAAAAAATAAATCTAGCAGACTTAGAAATTCTGTGGGAAACCCAATGGTCATGGAAAACTTTTAGACCACTTATTAGTAGGTCTTTGTTCAGATATATGGTTCAGACATAATTTAATAATACATATGAACATGGTTATAGTATTTATATTTACTAACGAGAAGAACTTGGCAAAAGACACAATATTCCTTTTCACAATAAAAGTTTTGAAAAGATTCTTTTGGTATCATATGTATACAAAAGCTATTAGTATTCATTTTTAATACAAAATAAGCTAATTTCCTTACTTATACCATTTAAATATTATTTTTCTCTCTTCCCTTATGGAACTGGGGGGGGGAATGCTACAGAAGAAAAACAACTGATGTTTCTGCTAAATAGTTCAAAAAGTCTTCCGTAAGTCTAAACACCTGCTCCTGCTTGCCTAGCTGTGTCTAAACCCTGTCAGGAGACTAAAAAAGGAAGGTCAAAACAAATAAGGCCTTTCCCTGGAACCTCTACTGGACCCTTTGAGAGTGCATGACATTCTGAGTTTCCCTTGTAGACAAATACTTCAGACATTTATTTGTAATCAGATACTGACTTCAGTAGATTACAGCACAGGATCTACAAACAATCACAGTCACTACACTATCAATTCATAAATATAATGTGGATTATCCATGAAAAACTTGTGATTCCTTTCAATACATTCAATACATTCTTTTGGGGTACTTCCCGGCAAGCATCCCCTAGCATATAATAAGGAAAAGAAAGCACTCAGGTTACTTAAATCTTCTTGTCATATTCACAGTAGTATCAATTTTTATAACAGGGGAATCTCTTTCCAGGTGACTCTGGCTAAGAATCCTAAGAGTCAGGGACTAATAAACAAGACAGACCTCTGGAAGGCGGTCACAATAAATATTTCAAAGTTCGTGTAAAGAATGGAGCTTTACTCAGGCCCCACGAAATACCCAATCATATTTGTAACAATGGAATAGGAAAAGTTGCTACTTACAGGCATCCACTGGACCAGGTGTTAGTTATATACTATTTCATTTAGTCAACCCAACCCTTTGGCAAAGTATTATAACCAATTTCCCTTAACAAATGAGGACGCGGTTAGGTAAGTCACGTCCAGTATTTCAAACCCCATCAATCAGTTTCTAAAGCTCATTACACGATATTCCTACCCCATATTCCTCAGATAATCTGGTTTCTAGCCTGGTGGTTAAAAAAGGAGTAGGCAGTCTAAGAAGTACCCCCATCACCAGTGAGGAAGCAACAATGCAATAAGAAAAGCAAACGTAAGAAAGCAAGCCACGGTGGTGAGATTTTTTAAATATCTGCTGAAAAGTTACTGCATACCACACCTAATGTTAGGTACTAGGGACACAGTGACATGTGACACAGCCCCTGCCTTAAGGAGCTCACAGCCTATCAGAGAAAAACAGCCTTAAATACTCAACACTCCAAGGACAGAAATGGGTAAGACAATCATCATAATGGCTCGAAATCACAGGGAAAAGCAGTTTAGCGTGAATTAAGTAGGAGGGAATATGATTCACTTCGGTTTGGAAATATTTCTCATCCCCAAACTAAACAAGTTAACTTTTGGATTATGTTCACTTCACGCTAGCATATTACTGATCCACTTTAAAAACAAGAAATAGTTGCAGTGAAAATCCATACTATAATAAAGCAAGTTACTGGTTAAAAAAACATCCCATGAGCCCCTGTAGTACCACTCGAGGAAGAGGAGCACCAGAATGCAGTGAAGTTCCTTCTCCTATTTCCTTGTGAACACTACACCAGAACGGAAAACTAGATCCACCTCGCTCACACATGTGCCTATGTGGATAATGTTCTAAACTTACGTGAGATCACAATCTGAGAACCATGCAATCAATCAGAGACTCCAACTAGGCTTTATATATCCAAGCTCCCTAGTACACAGCTCAGGGGAAATCCATCAAGCAGTGCAGGGAGCCCTTAGGCTGCGAGAGGAATGCCAGTTCCGCTGAGTGGCCACGTGACCTTGGACCTCAGTTCTTCTGGGGAGGAAAAAAAGGGGAGGGGGGGAATAATGCAGTCTACCCTAGAGGTAGGAGATTGAGTTCTGATCAAGGACTCTTCAGAGTTCCTATGAATTATTTTAAAAGTTGCTATTGATTGCTTTCTCTTTTCCTCCACCATGACCATCATTTCTACTGCCTTCAGTCTACCTGTTTCTTAGTGAGAACAGGACAATAACTGTCCAAGAGAGCTGTTCATGTGAAAGTCCTCTATACTAAAAGATATCCAATATTACCTTTCTCTATAGTAATTACACAAACTGTGGGAAATTTGGGCTTCAAAGACTTTTCTTAACCCG